TGTCATGTTGGCCTTCTGGTAATGTTACAAAAGTTGTGTATAGACCTGGGTGCCTATCATGTCGCCCTTTCTATATTAGCTTGGGAAAAATCTGGAGGACCCTACCAGCCAGCGGAGCCGCCTGGAATCGATCAATTCCATACTGAAAGGGAAACCACCCCTGATCCTTAGGCTCCGGATGAATCCAAAGACACGTTACAGTCTGAAGTTCATCTAGCTGGTGGTTGGAAGGGAGCCAAGGAGCTGGGGGTATCCAAATTTGGTGCTTTACAAACTAGGGAGCTAAGGAGCTACCAGAAGATCTGGCTAGGGACATAGTAGCAATGCCTTAACTTTGTTGGATTTTGCTTGGATTTTCGGACTTTAACTTTTTGCCAACTGATGGGGTTTCCATTAAACCACCAAAAGTTAGACTTTTAGCAGGGGAGCAGAAAGCAACCGAGTTAAGCAGGGCTCCTCAAAAGATACATTTTGCCCATTTGAAACATGGCTGTTTCACCAAGATAAGGGGAAACCACCATTGACAAGGCAATGATCACTTGTATAACGTAAGAATCCCTGTTAAGGTTTTGCAGCCAAGGTGCATTTGCATCTTCGAGTGCCTGGGCGGCGCAGTGGTTTATGCCATGGTGCTGGGCGATGTCTTCAGCGGCCTGCTGCAAAGTGCGCCGGTGCCCGCACTCCTGGCCAGCAGATCAACGGTCACTTGGGCAAAGAGATGACATTCTCCTGGAATTCCTGGTGAGATTGGTGGTGAGATTCCAGGTAATGAGATCAAACACGAGATTCCAGGTGATTTTCAAATAGTGAAATGTTTTTATGCAAGCAGTTGGTCAATTTCCTGGTGAGATTCCTGTACCTGCTTCCATGAATCCCAATGACAACTTGGAGCGGTTGGGTTTTCTTGGGCTTCCCTTTGACCAATCTTCTCAGAGTTTTTGGAGCCACCCAGCTGATATGCCAACAGCTTCCCCAAGCGATTTGCCGAATTCGGGATAGACGTGGTTGTTTCAGCAATTCACTTGTGTTGGCTGGTGCACTCAGGGTTGCTTGATATTGCCCTAGCCTGGGGTCCTAATTTGTTTTTTCCTGTCTTAAACTTCACCCGTTTGGCATTCTTGCTTATATCTGTGGGTTTTGTCTCCTTTTCGCAGGGTGATTGAGGGAGACACAAAAACGGGAGAAATCTGTGGGTGGACGAAATCCTGCACAGCCTAGAATGGAGAACATTCTGCACCGGGATGAACCATCCTCCGACAGTTGATGGAGTTGGTCCATCAGGGCCATTTCACTCAATACCCTACTTGGGGGTTCGGCAATACGGCAGGGGTTGCCATGGGCCCCTGAATAGGGATAAACAACCATGACAAGAACACAACGCCCTGCTTGCCCCGCTGCGCCTTGAGGTGATCCTGGTTATCTCGGCGGTGCTTTTCCCGCTGTGCTGCTTGCGATCCTTCGCCCAGCTGGCAAAGTTCTCCTTGCTGGGCCTCATGGCTGCAGTGTCACTAGAAATGTCGTTTGGAGCGGGGGGAGGGGTGAGGGGGGGCTGAAGAGAAGAGAAAGGGCACTTTTGGCCTACCCTCCCACCAAGTAACATGGAACCGGACACGGGGGTCCTGGAAGACTATTTTCCTTTTCAAGGTACCCCCGAACGTCCATGTTAATTGGTGCGAGCGTAGATTCCCAGGCACTTTGGCCACGACCTACGTGGTCATCTTTGTGGTGAAGCGCTTCCTGGACGGCAGCTACGCGGCGGGGGGTGCCTTCTACACTGGGGCTAAGGCGGCCACAGGTGCCGCCAGCTTCCACAGCATGTTGAATCCCCAGGTGTGGCTTGGCTTGTGTTTTGGGCTATTGCTTTGGATGTGGGGCTAAAAGCCAATCAACACTTTTTGTCAAAATCAATGCTTCATCCTTGCGCCAGATGGTAGTGGTTTCTCCGGGCAGTTTCCAGCCACGACGATGCTGTTGCTGCTTTAAATCTCAAACTCGCAATTACAGATGTAGTGACAGACATACTGATATATAGAAACATGTATGCAGTATACGCATCACTTACAGAGGCCAACTGTATCTTCTTACTTAGCCAAGTGTCTTGACAAGCCAAGTTCTGCTCCCCAATCCAACATGGACCCTTCGAAGCCTTTATTTCAAAAATTGAGTTTGTAGAGACTCGTCTCCTTTTGGGCCAAGGAGCCCCTTTCTACTTCAACCCCTCACTGGGCTTACAAATGGTGAAACAGCAAAAATCCTTATATAGCACCCAGCAAGACAGCATCACCCCTGGCTTGTAGATGGTGAAACAACAAATCCTGACATAACACCAGAAGCACAAAAAGGGCATCCGCGGCCAAACACGTCCCTGACTTTGCCAATCCGTTTTTTTGGTTCTCCGGCCGCTAAGGCTGGTGCTGGTGGCGCTGCTGTCCACGGCCTTTCTGGTCCACTTCAACGCGCCGCAGTTCTTCTCGGAGCTGCCGCCGGCCAAGGTCAGCTCGGAGTCGGAGGGGCGCCAGCGGCTGGGATTGGGGTGGGCGGTGAGGTGGGGCTTGGGGTGGGGTGGGGTAGGGAGGTTGGTATGGTTTGTGGTAGGCAAGGTAACCCGGGATAAGGCTTAGGTAAGGCAGGTCGGGGGTGGGGGGTTGTGTGGTGGTTGTGTGGTGGTTGTGTGGTGGTTGTGTGGGTTGAGCTTAGGTTGCTTGGTTGGACTGGTACGTGGTCGGGGAGGTGAGGGAGCCTGGGCTTCTTCGGAAGCGCGACCCATTTGACAGGAGCCAAGCGCAATATCACTGGGGCATTTTATTTTTCGCGGCCTGCAAGTGTGTTGGGTTTGCATGTGAGGCTAGCAGACACCATGTTTGGCTTGGCAGTCGGGATCCGATGCTTGTAATCATGATGGTTTGTCTCCAAATGTGGCGACCACCAACATGAGTGGTTTCCATTTGATTCCCATATCAAACCACCCAAAAAAGGGTACCAACAAACGCACCCCCATATTATGGCCCCATTATGTTGGCTTTCCGTTGTTTGATCATGGGGTCAGATGTTAGGGTGAGGGTCAGGGTACCTTGTTTGCCTTTTTTGGGGTGTTTGGTGTTCAAGGGAAACCGAAACCATATAATGACAGGCTACATGGAAGCACGGAGAACTTGGGAAGACGTTCCGCTTGCACGTTCGCCTGAGAGTACTGAGAGGGCAGGATACTTAGGAAGTGTTTACTACCGGTTAAACATGTGCAACTCCCTCAATACTTGAGCGGGTGATGCCAGGGTTGCCAAGCCACTCACAACTCCCCTTGAAATCAACATCGCACCCGAGACTCCTCTACATATTGTGTGTGTTTTTTGGGTGAGGATCCCCATATTGTCCTTTTCAGCTAGTGTCAACATCGCTTTTTCTTATTATCCTTTGAGAAGAGCTTCTTGTTAACGTTTGCGTTTTTGCAAGCTGCCTTTCTTTGGGGGTTGGTTCCAAATTTCACAAGGACACCAAATGGAAACCCCCCGTTCGGGGCCAAAGCATTTTTGGGCCCCCTTGGAAAACCCTTGCTTTCCTAGCAACACTTGAAAAGCGACCAACGGGCGACGCACGCGCCCCCACTTTTTTTTGGCCATCCTATCGACCAAGGAAGCTCCGCGACTTCAGCCGGATGTCGCTCATCGGCTTCGGCATCGCGTCTGTGCAGTATGCGCTGGTGATGTGCTTCGGGTTTCTCACCTTCGGAAAAGACGCCGCCGGGCCTGGGCCCCGGATGCGAGTTGGAGTTGGACACGCCCAGCGTGGGAGGCAAAATGGTGTCTTTAAGCCAACAACAAAGGAGCAGCCTCGGAAAAACACACACAGGCAGGGCTTCTGAAGTGAAATCCAAAGAAAACAATCCTTTTTCGGGGGGCCTATTTGGAGAAATGCACAATATGGAACAATCTTGTGGCTTGCTTGTGCAGACAAGGTCCCTGTGTTGCTTCTCAGCTTACCCACGGTTCTGCCATACGGAGGACTTGGTTTGCCGATGTCCCCCTAGGATCGCAAAATATGGAAAAGGATTGATTCGCAGTCACCGAACTGTTGCTCTCCAACTATACCGGCTTCAGAGTGCGATGTGAAAGCTTCCACGATTGGAGAGGTCTTGTTCCCTTTTTCATGCTTCCGTTTGGGCTTTCTCGGTTTCCCTTTTGGAACCTCTAACAGTGATCATCTTGGCCCCCAGCTGCAACTTCAACTTTGAAAGGGGAAATCCAGTGGGCCTCGTTTCATCAAACTCGAAACGACCATCTGCGCGAAACCTGAGCTGCGGGAGTCCCGACACTGGACTAACCGGTGGGTTCGACAAAGACAGGATGCATTTTCCATATATTTTCCACACCTCCTCTTTGCCAAGGGCATTTTCAGGTGGGCAGGGTTCTGAAGGTATGGAGATTAGGAGGGTATATACTGCCTGGCAAGCCTATATAGATGTGCTATGAGCCTCCATACCTGCGAAACCCTGAAACCACTTCAGTATCCCCGCAAGGAGGCCCAAATCAGATGGACATGTTATGTTCTTTCCAGACACCTGAACCCCATGACCCAGAGCCCTGAAATTCGTGAGCCCGAGCCCACCCCATGTAAGTCAGGAACCTACTGCTGAACTACAGCAACCTGGACCCCTGGGCCGCCGGGGCGCGAGTGGCGGTCGGGGTGTCCATGCTCTTCGGCTACCCCATGCAGTTCGCAGGCGCCGATAAACCGAAGTTCGCGTTCGTTCGGTGCGACAGGGGGGATACCGGCGCAAGGCAAGCACACAACTCCCCGTCATTCAGAGGGAGCCATTGCAGCCTAAGCAGTGGCCAGGGGGCATTGAGCACACTACTGATTCAGAGCGATGCGAAGAGGATAGATATTGCTGTTTGAGTGACTGTTATAGTTATAGGGGGCATTCGAGGACAAACAAGGGCAATCTTGCGGGAATCATCTTTCCCTCGCTCCCCTTGCTGTGGTTGATGAATCACTGACAACTTTAGGCAGAAAAGCCCACCCCGTGGTGCAAGGAAGGGCCTTCGTTTAGCCGTGTGGAAACCATTCCGCTATTCCAGTAGTTTTTGTCTCAGTGTTTTGGCATCCCATTCTTTTGATACAAATTGCCAGTTCACCAGGGAGGTTGGGGTCGTGTTTTGAAAACATCCAGTGAAAAACAAGGAGGAGCCACCTTTGGAAACTATGCCGATGGTATGAGTGGGGGGGGGTTCTTGTTCCATTTTTTTAAACGTGATTCTTTTCACGCGGTTGCCTTCTGGGAAGCTTTGGTGGTTTGAAGCGCTGCTTCAGTCGCGTCAGGATTCCGGGATGGCATCCTTGAGATGATGAAGGCAGGGCAAAGGTAAGGGGTCCTCATATGGGTGTTGCGTTCTTTGGGGAACCCCCTTTGGCTAGTTTGTGTCAAGGAAGCCAACCATTTGGAGGGGGCTCATCTTTTTGAGACAAACCTATATTTCGCTCCTTAAAACCTTCAATCAGGATCAACTGACCTCAGGGTGTTTTCCTTGTCAATGACGCCCATGCTTGTATGGGACACATAATGAGCCTGGCAAGGTGCCGATCTGAAACACACCATCTCAAGTTGTCACAAAAGCTCAGGCGCCTTCGAAGAGTGTCGTTTGTGCCGGCTTCGGCACTACTTTGACAGCCCCGAAAAGGCTTGCCGGTGGAGGTTCGTGTGTTTGTGCCAGGGGGCTCCACCTGTGCCTGAGTGAAGCGATCGGTTTCAAGAAAGTCCAAAGGCAAGAGCCATGAATTCTAATCAGATGACAACTTGTTTGTCCAAAACTTCGCTTTCAGTGTGTCCAACATCCAAGCAGCGCCCAACTACATCAAGGGCCACATTTACACTCAACAGCGCCCTCGGAGCAAACGCAGCAGCAAAATGGCAGTTCACTCCCACACGTTCAAGGTCATTGAAGAAATTTGAGCAATGCCCCGTAACAAGCAACATTGCATCCCAAGCTTATCCGTGCACTAATGACACAATGAATTAGATGTGAATGTGACAACTGTGAACACACAAGGATTCGCTGCGCGTAAGCAGAAAAGTGCTCGACTAATGCCTTCCTGAAGCATTTGGAGTTTCGCCCTCCCTCTGACGTTCTCCTTGACTCCATTCTGAAGCTAAAAAAGGTCAGCATTCTTGACCTTAGTTCACGGGTGGTACACATTGAACAGCATCCGACGCATCCACATTGACCCAAACATTTACTACATCCATCTCGCAAGACCAAACCAAGCTGAGTGTGGTAGAATTGGTTGGATGCCTGAATGCTATTCGGAGGCAAGCAGAACCCGAACCAACCATTGCTATGAGTCCCGTACTTTCTTCACGGCACTGTGACACCGCACCCCCCAACTGGCAGCTTGTCCATGTCGTTTTGCCAAAGCAGACAGAGCGGCAGAAACGGGTGTCGCTCCGGATGCTTCAACCTCCTCCCAATCCTCAAGAAGGTTTGCTTTGGCCAACCCGAGAGACTTGTTTGCGACCTCCCTCCCAAAAAACACACACAAAAGGAGGCAAGGAAAGAAAATCAAGCGCCCCTATAGCAAACCTCAGTGCATGAAGGAGCAGGGAAGTTAGCAAGAGGTTACCAAACCTGGTTAGAACCCACGGAAGGAGGACTTACCACCATGGCCGTGGTGGGTTGTAACCATGCTAACCACTTACCTGATGTACCCTGCCTAACCTTTGCATTCACCCACCCTTAGCATCTACAAGTGTTCACCCGCTCAAAAGGCGAACCAGTTTGTCAGCCTTAGTTGACCCCATACAATCGTCCAGTTGCGCAGGTGCAGAGTTTGTTTTGTTCTCGTTTGGAGTAGTTTTCCTCTATCAGGGTCACTGGGCAATTGGGAAAGTCTCTCAACCATGGCTTTGGTGATTGGAAACCAAGCTAGTCAACTCACACATTGCCCGTTTAATTGGACCCCCTAACCTATATATATATATATATTCACCTTTATTAGCCTTTTTGACCAACCCATACCAATATTATGTCCCTTATTCGCCCTATATTCAACCCTATGATCATCCTTCAACCTCTGTATTTACCCTATCTTCTCTTTGTCACATTTTGGTTGGATGTTGGGACTTTTACTTTTTGCCAACCAATGGGTTTTCCCATTAAACCACTAACAGTTAAACTTTTAGCAGGGGAGCAGAAAGCAACCGAGTTCACCTGGGTTTGGGACGAGAGGTGAAGAGTCTGCCCAAAGTGCGGCACCGCTTGGTCACCGCAGCCATGCTGAGCCTCGCGGTGGGCGTGGCGCTGGTCTTCCGGGACCTGGGCTTGGTGCAGGCCCGGGCGGACTTAGGTATCATGAAGAGTGGGGAGTTGAGAGCCCTGGGATGCCCTGAGGTTCCTTGTATTTCCTTACGGTTCCCTACATTTCCGTAGGGAGCCTTAGTGAGCCTTGATGTTTTGTGGGTCTCCTTAGGGTTTCCTTGAGGTTCCTTAAGTGTTCCTTGGGGTTCCCTAGATTTCCCTAGATTTCCTTAGGGAGCCTTAGGGTTCCTTGGGGTTTCTAGGGTTTCTTAAGGTTCCTTAGATTAGTTTAGGGTTGTCTTGGGTTCCTTTGGGTTGTGTTTTGGTTTCCGAGGTTTCCTCTGGATAATTTCCTAAGATTCCTTCGGGTTTTCTAATATATATTTTTCAGGAGGGGTTCCTGAGGCTTCCTGAAGGCTCAAGGAATCCCCGCTCCTTGGACCCGAACGGGACTCCACAAAGGGAAAGGGGAAGGGATTTCGTGGCGCAGAAAATACCCGATGGCTGGCTCGTCTTTCTTCTAGGTTGGACCCCCCCCCGAAAAAATGTGCTTGTTTCGTTGGTTTCCCTTTAGAGCCACAAAAAAGGCAGGGGGGGTACTTTCAAAACAACCAATGGAAATGGGGTACCCCTTTGTTGGGTGTGCGTTCAAGGGAGATCAATAAGAAACCCAAGCAAATCCTTTGGTTTCCCTTCAAAACTAACAAAAGACAAAATTAAAAAACACGACACACGCAAATTGCTTTGTTCCCTTTGCTTGCCCTTAACGCACCCAAAAAGGGCCCATTTGGAGTACGAGCTGTGGGCGGAATTCAGTGTCGCACCAATAGGCGGTTCGTGCCATCTCGTGGGCTTCATCCATCCCAACTGGTGCAGGACTTGGTTTATCCACAGGTCTGCCCATGTCGTGGGGTTTGAGCGGCGGAACCCGATTCAGGGTGAAACGAGCTACCGATGTGCTATCCCCGGGTCCTGGGGCTGGTATGCAGCTTTAGGGGTCTCACAAAAAGTGATTTGGCAGCCCCCCATCCAGTTATTCTCCCGGTTTTGGACAGATTGTAGCGATCTGGAAGGTCCCCTTGCAACTGGATACATGGAACGGATTCCCCACCTGCCCAGGTGAAAACAACTTTGACAGAAACGCCGGCCTTGCAAGTCAATGTGGAACCGAGCAAAGTTGCCAATCAACCTGAGGGTTGGTTGCAAGAAGTTGGTTGCAACGGAAGCCAGCAGGTTGTTGAAACAATCTTGGTTTTGACATGTTTGAACAGGCTGTGTTGGCCTAACCCTGCATGTTTTGCTTGGTTAAACCTAAACGAGGATGTTGAATGACGGAGTGAGGTACATTCTCTATGGCTCGCTCGCGGTCAGAGGACAGCTCAAAGCGTTTGGTGTCAGAAAGTGGGTTCTTTGCCAATGCTCGTTTGTCACTTGTGTACGGTAAACATACTTGAAATTGAGGGGGACCCGGCATCGTAAAGAAGAAAACTTCAATTTGACCTGCCCGAACAAATGGTGGTTGCGATTGGGGGTCCCTTTCAACACCACCCGAAAATTGCTACCTGCCCCAAAGCATCCACGATTTGCTTGCGTGGTCCAGCCCTGGCCCCTGTGCAGGAATTCAGATTGGGCGTTGTTTAAGCAATATATATATATACATATTGGTATGCACAAGAGTGGTTCAACAATAGTGGACTAAACAACGGCGGTTCTATCACTAGTGATTCTAGTGATCTAAACATTGGTTCAAGCAATAGCGGTTGAATCACGTTTATGGGTTCAGCCCAACACGCTTTAGCCTGGCAGGCCGTGGAGGGTGCGCTGCTGGCGGCCTTTTTGGTGCCCCAGCTGCAAAGTGGGATGCAACCCGACGACCTGGAAACAGGTTCAGGGGGCCCTGCGTGTTCGCGACCCCAACCCGTTTTGTGGCAGTGTCATATACCACAAGGCAGGTGAACCGATTGGAACCTTGACCAAAAAGTGATCAGAACAGGAAGCCATCAGGCAGACAAACCCTCTGGGTTGCTCCAAAGCACACAGGGCCGCTGGTTAGGGGTTCTGATGCGTTTCCGGCAAACCGCCATTTAGTGGGTAAAACAGGAGGTGGGGTGGGGCTGGGGCTGTTGCTGGGGCTGGGGCTGGGCTGAGATGGGTTAAGGGCTGGGGTGGGGTGCGGTGGGGTGAGGGATGAAGCAAGACGGCACAAGTCGGAACGAAATCTTGAGACCCACCAAGTCGCAAGTGAATGAAACAAGGGTCCACAGGCTCATTGCTCGCATGTTCGGGCAAGTTAGTGGCCAGCCACCTGGGATATAACCCACTAGTGCCTGGGTCAACCCCACTTAAGCAGCCTAAGTGGGTATGGGTCAAAATTTCCAGCACCAGAAAACCGCAGGTTTCAGTCCTTGGTTCCATTTACTCGGGTTCCAAAAGTGGATACCCATATGTTTGACCAGCCAAGTGGGTCGCCCAGGCCACCACACCTCACTCCCAAGCCAAAGGTAAGCCACCCGTCCATGGCACGCACGCACGATGGCCAGGTCTTCCTGGCGGGGCCGCTCATGGCGTTGCGCCTGCCCATGGGCCGATCCAAAGGCGCCAAGCTCGGCTTCGCGGGGCTCGTCACGCTGGGGCTCGCCTTCATGTGCCTCTCGGCCGCATGGCGCGCGCCTTGGGCGCAAGTTGCGCCAGGCGAAAAATGGCCGTGGGTGGCCTATATAGCCTGTGGCGGTCCGCTTCATTTTGAGGTGGAGGAACATCCATTTGCCACCTATGTTGATGTTCACCAGGGGCACGGAGTTTTGAGCCACGGCCAAATGACTCCTCCGTGTGCCGAGAGTTGAGAACTGCTCTGCTTCAGTGGGAAAAAGCACGGCAAGTCATTCCACGTGTGATACTCAGTTGCCCCTGAGGGACGCAGAAATGGAAGGTGAATCTTTTGGGGCCACTAAACATGGTTGCCAAGAAGGGAAAGCCAGAAGGGGTTGCTTCGCTTTGGACAACTGAGTTATAGGGAGGGCTTGCCTCATAATCCAAAAAGCTTTGATCTTTGCGCATGGCTTGAGCTTTCCCACTAAATACGCGGACATGCCCATTGCGCAGAGGGGGCTGAGCCTGAGTGCTCAAAGCGGATCGATTCGGTACGTGAGGTAAGTGGTTTGTAACCCTGGTTTCCATTGGATTGGGACTTGCAACTAGGTACATCCGTCACCATTCGCATTTGTATGGGTGTGCGGATGGGAATGAACGGTTTTTGGATACGAATGGGTTAGTCTTTGTGTTTATCATTTGGAACCCTCGGCATTTGTTGTTTCCTTTTGAGTGCTTGTTTGAACCATCCCCTAAAAGCGGTCCCTCCAAAGGAGACATCCCATGTAGGGACATCCAGTGACCCCTGTTTAGAGAACCCGAAACAAGTTGCCAATAATTTCCAGCTATCACAGGAGGTTTGGTCAAAGTTCCAGTCTTTGGTCCGTTTGGGTGCGTCCTTGGTTGGGGAACCCCTTTGTTTTTGCTTTTGAGAAAACCAAAAGGAACACCGCCATTTTTGTGGGGGTTCTCCAAACATGACAAACCCATTTGTGAGTCACCAAATGCCAACCACAAACGCTTTTGGACTCACTAAAGTCTTCGATTCCTTCCTTTGGAGAAGTAAGTTTGATTATTCAATCGAGAATCATGTCAGCAGAGCCACATAGAACCCATTTGGGGAAGTGAAGGGTAAGAAACCTTAGCCGCATAGTTAGGTGTCCTTCTTAGTTCAATTTGGTTGACCCATGGACGAAAGGACGTCAAACATACAAAGCGACGAAGCAAGAGGAGCCCATTGAGCGCATTCCATGTCAGCGGCTCCTGCTTTCCTTCCATCGGAAAGCAGCCGCGGAACGATCTTGGCAAAGCCATGCGCGAGGGCCAGCGGAAAAAAGGGAAGAAGTACCTGTCAGTCCCAGGTTTTGGGTAGCCTGCCACATGCGCGACTCGCAAACGCCAACATGCTATCTCCAAGGCTGCACAGTGAAGGTGAAATGGGGGGAGCGAGCTGGATATCCAATAAACCAACCGCAAGGCTGACCAACTTACCCGTAGCCTCAGCCATTGCCCCAGTTCAATGTGTTTGTTTTCCTTCTTTTGGTGGAGTCACCACTCATACGTGATTCCATTTCCCTGCATAGCTATCCAAGACAACTATCCTCTACACACTAGAAGGAAAATGGCGAAGGGTTACTTACTATAGTCACGAAACGCCTGGGATCCATTTATGGGATACTGCACCTCAAGCAGTTCTCTTGCTGCCAAGTGTGCCATTGAACCCTCGGGGCTTGCCTTGCCGCTTAGGTATTGGCTGTGCAGTGAACTTCGGCTTGATTTGAGGTGGCGGTCAAAAGTTGCAAGCTTTGGCTCTCGGGCCAGCCAAATGTTGTGACAACCACTTACTTCCTGAGTTCCTGGACTTTGTACTTGTTGGGACGACTATTGTAGTGGCAAACAACAAGTATGGACTTGTTTGGCCCATCCACTCAGGAAGCGAGATCAGATGGGCGAAGGGTTTGGCCCGGGGAATGGCTGCATCCAAAGTGGGGCCCTTTCAAGTTTGTCAAGGTGTGCTTTCCTGGATGCTTCAACGGAAATCCACCTCTGTCCATTCTTGGCTGAACTCCATGCCCATAGGCTATCAGTTTCCGTCGTGCCGGCGCACGCTCAAGCGCGCGCGCACGCCCGGCGTAACGGAGTAGCGAATCATTGAGGGAGTCTGGTGCAAGGGCTGCGGTGAAGTGGCAATTCTGAACGCCAACTAGAAATATTGATTTTGACGTGCAACTTTTAGTGGACATAGATTCTTATGCAATTATTGCAATTCAATATTGAGTCCACAACTCAGACTCATGCTGGGGAAATAGAGTTAGAGTTCTAGAGGGCTGTCAGCCAAATGATGATATGCACACCAGTCAGACACCTCCGAGAAAAGGCAAATGTGCGACAAAAAGTGGCGGCTGTGGGCACGGGTTGCTTTGAACATCACTGGGGATATGTTGAACCAAGCTTCCCGCTTCAGGTATTACTTGCTACGGTATCCCTGTTGGTTGTGAATGGGAATTGACCAAAGCGTATTCGTTGGTGATGAGCGATCTTCAAAGAGGAGGGGGCCTCCTTGTTGCCAGATTTTTGTTTTTTGAGCGCCAGCCAGTGATGGACGATGGAAGAGCGCGCGTGGTTCCAAACGGCCACAAGGCGAGCTTGCAACACCAAAATGGCGACCAAGAAGTGGAAACTAAAAGGGTCAAAAGGCTCCAAAGGCGTTTGGGGCCGACAAAAAGAGGGTTACTTCAAGGGGACACTAAAAGGGATAACTAGTCTGTGGAAGATGAGACAAGCCGCTTTCTGAGATCAAAAAGGGCTTGCGAATCTTTTCCTTGGGACCATCCTCAAGGGACGCCGTATTGAGCCACATGAATTCATGGTATGCCAAAATCAGTTGACTTTGAACAGGTGGTGTTCCCTCTTGGATTCCTACAGTTTGATTAGAACACTTGCAGTTTCATGTGCCTTGGAAGGCCTTTCCTTCGAAGGGTATGCGATGGTAAATACACAGACCCTTCCTACCCCTTACCCATAGAAATTCACAAGCCAATTAATGCCCCTCAATCCATTCAACCCAGAACTAGAAGTTCTTAATTCATACTCATTGCCCCTACCTACCTTTAGATGGACGAATTCCTACACCACTTTGCCATGGGAAACTATTGCTTGTTGGTATTTTCCTCGGAATCATTCCAGGGTTTCTTACGTGGTGCGATTTCTGAATTTCGTCCATCCACAGTAGCTCTCTTTGGATTCAAGAGGAGATCTTCGGGGAACCCTATCCAACGTCAACCAAGCTGTTGGCCACTCTACCCTGGCACAGTAGCTTTAGCAACTGTCTCGAGTTCTGGCGGATCCGCTCATAAGACGAAGACACGAGGTCTGGTGTGCTGCCTGGGCCACGGATCCGGGGCTCACCAGCGCCAACTACCAGACCCCGGGGGGTGGCCGAGGGCGAATCATGTACAAAATCGGATATTGCCCAAGTTATGGTGTGAATTCCCCTTTTTCTATGAGCGGTGTGAGGGTCCAGCCACTGTTGATGGACAACATCCGCTTCCCACCCGTTGGGGTGGATGAACCCCGAGTTGAATACCGGTCGATAAGTATGTATCACGTGGCCACGTCCTTTTTGAGGGTACACCTTTCAAGGTTGATTTATATGGCAACCTGATGGAAAAACCAACCGGTTTGGGAGTAACCTCAAAAACGACATGCCCGTATACTTGTATATGAATATCACCCTACATACGTGCATATATATATATATATATATCATACATATGCAGATATAATGGTACGCCCAAACATTGTGAAACACTCATCAAGTTTAGCACAGGATATAGTGTATCTGACCCACAAGGAGTTTTAAACGTGGCTCCTACGGCACAAGGAGGTGATGGCGGTTGTGATGTGATTGCCCTGCTTGGAAGCAAACCCCAGCAGTACACAGCACTTACATGCTGCTAGCTTCTTCACTCACGGTCTCCTCCTTGCCTTCTTGGCGATCAGCAGAATGGAAGTCAGGGTTCCGTTGTCTGATTGCGCTAGGTAGATCAGGTGGCTCTTAGTTGGTGATTTGGATTGGTGGTTTGGGGATCTGAGCCCCTGGTTTTTTGTAGAGGCCACCAAACCGCAAATCCAAACCACCAATTAGAGGGAAGCTGAGTAGACTTTGGTCTTCAGCCCTGGGCTGAGGTGTTGGTCTTGGGTATTTTGGGGGGGTTCGTTTTTGAGGGTTCCCCTTTCGCGTGGTGTGTAACGGGAAAACACGGGGGGAAATCACTCACTTGAGAAATGCCCCCATTTTCAGACACCCCACGGCAAGGCTGACAAAATGGAACCAGGATTCCAGAGATTTTATATGTTGACTCCCCGCTGAAGGGATTTGCCAAGAGCTTTGTGACTTGAAATCTTTGAGGACGGGACAGACGATGCAGGTCTTCGCACGTAGTTGACTTCGTTTCAGCATGTATCAGAGGCAATGGCCACACATACGTGGATCTCCATGTTTTGCCTACACATCTTATAGTGCTGTTGCGTGGAGTACCGTACCAGCCTTAATTCCGACATCCTTATCTATGCAGATTTCACATCTTCCGACGGGGAGATCATCTGGCTATGGGTCAAACATGCGTACCCAAAGCGGACCCCTGGCAAATGGAACCAAAGACGAAAACCTGCGGTCCATTTCCTGGTGGTTTTATCTTGACCCATACCCATCTGACGTCAGGGGATCTGTGGCCCACCAGGACGCTCATCAAGGCTCAGGCGGCCAACTGTCAGGACTCCAAGGGCTCGGGGGCCCGGCCGGGCCCGCAACTCACCCCGTAGGGCACGTGCAAAAAGAGCATACCGGATCCGCTTATGGCGTCAGGTTCCTTTATGGGCGTAGCTGAGAATTGAGCTTTGGTAAATGGCAAAGACTAAAACTTGCCTCTGAACAATTTGAGAGACACCCATTTTTTTCTGTCTGGAGAGTGTTTTGAAACATCACTCTTTGGCCCAAATGTTCCGATTGCTTTGTTTCCCGAGTCGTCGCGGGGTGCATCCATTTCCGGGCCCCGGGAGATGCCTTTGGTGGCGACTGCAGTCTCCTCCAAATATGTTGAATTCAGAGTAGATGAACTATGGAGCAGAGTCAGAAAGTGTTTTTTCTGTTGTGTACCCCAGAGTTGGGACCAGTTGAATTGGTGTATGGCCCTTCATGTTGTTCAACACCGAAACGAGGTAAATCACGGTAAGTTCGAGGTTGTCCAACTTGGTATCCCTACTTGCCATATTCGGGGAAATAAGCTTATCTCTCCCATGCGGTCAGCATGGCCTACGGCTTTTCTCCTCAGCCAGTAGAAAGAGACATCAAACACAGCTCGTTTCATGTGGTTTCATTTATATGTGCCCCAAGCATGTGGTTTGTTGCCCTCCACTCTACTTGCCTGGGGGTCGACGCAAATCTTGGGGTGTGGGCCTCACAAGGTCGCCAGTGCGGCACCTTTTGGGTCTATGCGGAAGCCTCAGCTTTCGGTTTTCGCCCGTCAAATTGTGGGACTTGAGCTGGAGGTCTGTTCATGTGGGTCAACCCTGGCAAGTGCTCAACCTACGCAATGCTTCAAGTTGCCACTCTAATCATCAAACCACCGAAAACCATTCTGGTCAACGAGGGAATATGCCCTGGCTGCCGGCTGTGGGGATTGCATCCACTGGGTAGGTCAGAATCCACTTGCTTAGTTGTCCTGAGATGAATAATCCGACTAATCCACCAGCTTGGCCGAAACATAAGGAGCGTGTTTGTTTTTTGCGGACTGAATTGGTGGTGGTACCTAACTAAATACTAAACCCGCTTGCTTCGCCATGTTTGTTCGTGCACTTGCAATGTTTTCAAGGATCCAGAGGTAAAGTGAGCCTAAACATATCTGAAATGGGCAGAGGCACCGCAACCTGACAGGTGGGATGTGGATTTAAGGTCGGTGACCCCGACATTTGGAGAGAGCCCTTGCTCCGTTGGTTTTGGTGCGGGGGGTTCTTTCCCACGCTCCGGAGCTTGTGGAGCATACCCTCGAAGTCCGGCGATAGGCAAGGAGGCCAAGCATCAAGTATCTCAAGGTCACCGCCCCCTAAACAAACAAATCAATACAATAAATAAAGGAAAGAACGTTCTGTCGTTCAACAACCACCTAGTGTTTGTCATAGTTCCTACACCCCAATAGGGCCCCCCAATCCCAATAATTCGGGTCTAATAGCGACTAGTAAGGCCTACTAGGGGCTAATAGGGTTCTTTTTTTTGGGGGGTCCTCTTTTCCCCTGACAACCATGGAAATTGTCGGGTTGACGAATCCATGGGAAGCCAGGGGCAGCTTGGAGCCGCTGCCCGCATGCGTTGAGGGACTTGTCAGAGCCGCTGGTTCAGTGACAGCGCAGTGTTCCTGTTTAGCGAGGGGATTTGGATCACTGATACCATGCAAGCAGCTTCCATTTGTGGGATTGGAACAGTTGTTATGTGCAGTGAGTAAGCTGGTTCAACAGCTTTCCGAATATGTCTACAACAAGAATTGTTACCACCTGGCTTCTGCTACGTACCTCAAGGTAGACTCTAATCTCGGAGTTGCGGATTTCCTAGAAAGGGCCTCCCCCGGGCTAAACTATTTTGGGATGTCCATGAACGAATCCTGGTTCCATCACAAGAGACCGACTGAGGATGTGGATGACATCGACGATGGCGCGGCAGATGGTGTGACCAGTCAAGCCGAGTACGACAGCTCTGACAACTGGAAATACAACCAGGTGCGAGATGTGGATTCGGCGGTTGGCAGGGACTCTGTTGAGTTGCACTGGATCCCCTGAATATTGCAACCCTAAGCATCAGTGGAAACTCCATTGGAAGGGATCAGGACCTGCATTGGAGGCCTTCTTGATCAAGATGATTAGGGAACTAAGGAATAAGGAAACCCGGTACCTTATCATCGAATCTTGGCAAAATTTAAATGTCTTTCCCTTGTCATGATTGAGAGTTCCTGCGCCTGGCATCGGTGAAATTGTGCAGCTCCTCAGTGTTTTGAACTAAGTTTAGGACTATCTGAAGCCTCACAGAACAGCCCGCAGCAGGTCACGCGAACATCACACATTATGACAAATATAGAAATCATGGTTAATGAATGCGTTTCTCCAAATGGTGAAGAGGCCAAGCACCAGGGTGGGCATGTTGAGAAATGCGCGGGATCGCCATCGAAGAACGCGAGCTTAGCGTATGGTCACAGGACTTTGACATCATCATCAGTGGCCTGGCAGAAGAAACCGACTATCCCTACATCTACTGCTATGCGGAGGATGACGCTCGTCTTCAGGTTGAGCAGCAACCCGGGGGTGCTTCTTTGGCCTTTAAAGGAACGCACATCACAAGGGTAGGCACTTGGTTTGTTTGTTTTAGAGTCCCTTCATCGGCCTTGCTACCAACAGATGCAAGGGTGTTTGGAGCAAAGCTATAGGCGTCCTTCTTGGGTCAGTTTGCTTGGGGATGGCACTGGATCCCAGGGATTCTAAGGTTTCAAGTCTTGGACCAGAGCTGTCGACTTGTCCGAGACGCCTAGCACACAGCACCGCGCGACGAAACGTAAACCTTGATGGAAGCATGTACGGGCCAACACTGGCTTATGACGTGATGAAGTCTCCAACCCCCTTTCGGATTTTGTCAAAATATTCTAGCGCAATCTTTATGTAGGCTTCGCTGAGGGCCTCTACCAACCTGTGTCCGTTCCATCCTCAGCTAGAAAGCAATGGGTCAAACGCGTGTCTCACGTTCGTTGCAATGTTTTGTCAGAGACAGACAGGCCTAGCTGTGATCCGAGTCGAGTCGCCATTGAATCCCGGATCAGAGTACCTCGCCCGGAGCCTTTGTGCGTGAGCCTGGGTTCGAATGCTGCACCTGGAACAGGCATTTTGGACACACTAAAGCAATAAAGATATGTTGAGTACTTTGAGGCATGAGGGGTTGGTTGTCTTCCAAATGGTTTGTGTCCTTCTGGTTTCTTAGCGCTCAACAGGCTTGCGAGACATGTGCACGGTCTGAGGATGAGCCAGACGGCCTTGGGACCACTCCAAACGTCATGATCTTCGACGATGTCGTGCCTGGGCTTCACACCAGCCGTGTCAACGAGTTCTGAAGAAGCAGCGACCCTCGCCCATGTTGAAGTTTCCGGTTTCTGGCGTCCGTAACGATTTTCGATTGGTGAGGTATGATCATTCCAGTTCTTTGCACGGTGCGGGTTCTAAGTGTGCTTTTTCTGCGACCCAAAAGGGATGACACGTTGCAAAACAACGAGACCGGTGTGCGCGCGTCCTGCAGTCAGTTGTTTCTGGGAGAGGCATTGGCCTTCCTCACCCCTAGCATGGCTCACCCGATTCTGGTTGAGTTGCCTGGTTTCGCCCGCTAGCATGTGTCCTGCTTGCGTTTCTACCCAACCCCGTCTGGACGCAGAAGCCAGAATGTGAGAATGGAAGTCTAACAGAGTGTCTCACTCTCCGAGATCCTGGATGTTATACTTGTTGGGAAGACAATTTTAATGGCAAAAACAAAACCGACCTTGTCGGGCCACTGTGTGTGAGTTGCGGAGCCTTCCATTCGGTCCGTTCAGACCCTGGCGGGCCCGGACAACGTGCACACCATCTGGGCCTCGACGGGTACAGTGCAGACCTTGGACGAGTCCCCGCCCGAGTTCACCACCTTGGCCATCAAGGCCGGGGGGTCGCGAACTGCGAAGCGATGGAACCTGACCGGGCCTTCTCGTTGATACAAATGGTGAACCCATGAAAGATACCCAGTGGATCCCAGCCAGTAGAGTAGGTGACAAGTTTTAACGGGTGGTTTCCTTGGTGACCTACTCATGGCATGTTTTCAGTAGTCTGGCCATTTGGGAGGGACATTGGAGTACTAATTTATACTAATTTGCTAATTTTCCCATGCCCTCCTGGGGGGAACGACGACCCAGTTCCTCAGCAGCAACCTTATCTGTTTTTACGGAGGATCCACTGAAAGTGGTCAACCGCCAAAGGGTTCCAATTCTTTGTCTTCCGAACGAGTAACCTCCTGCACTAGCTTTGTGGAACCCAGTTAGTTCCCGCTGTTTAAGGGGGAAATCCGGTGACTGTCACTGAAGAAGTGGGTCACTGAACATGAACCTCCAACCAACCACCAATTAACAACCAACCATACTGACCACGTTAACCACCAACCAACCACCAACAATACTGACCACCCATCGACCAGGTCCCGGCTACCCCCCGCGGCCATTTGGCTCGGCGAGGACCCCAGCGATTTCAACGACCGCCTGGTGGTGACCTTCGCACTGAACGAGGCGGGCACCGCCTACTGCCGCGCCACGCGCAGCGACTCCGGGGAGACGGACCTCAGGACTGGTTGGGCCGGAGAGACGGGGGGGAGGGGCGATCCAGGGGGGGGACCAGGTGGGGTGGGGTGGGGCGGTGAAGGTTGACCCCTGATGAACTGGCTGGGTCTGTTGGACGGCTTTCAGCATTGTGGGCCGAATGTGAATATAATGCGGCTGGGTTTCGGGGACCACCGAGCAAACGAGCAAAATTAAGGTTTCCAATCACCAGCCAGTTTGTAAGCCTCGCACTCATTCATCAGGGGCTTCCCCCTAAAAGAAAGGAATCCAAAAAAGGGGCCTCCTTAATATCAAGTTGAGGGGCGGGGAGGGTTAAGCAGAAATCAGGTGCAACACGCAAAGGCGGCCGCAAACTTGGAGGAGTGTCAAGTGTTAACTGTCAAAGTGCTTTGGGTTCAAGAAGCTGATGACCAGCCTCCAAACACAACAAATGGCAGGTGCAAGCTCCAATTAATGTCCGTTGAAAGCTATGTGGATTGTTTTGAGGTGCTTCATGATGTTGTTTTCATGGTGTTATTCAACAAAGCCTATGCTAAATCCTGCCAAAATGCCAGCAGACCCAACAACAGCAATCCCATGCAATGCATGGCTTGCCGTGCCTCTTGCGAGGATCAACCGCATCCTGTCCGCAAACTACTACGCCACAGTGGCCGCGGCATCCATCCAAGCAGCTCGCTTGCTAGCAGTCGTGGTGGACATTTTGCGATAGGCTCTTGCGAGGCTGATTCTGGATGAAATGTCGCAGTGTGCCAGCACTGCGATTTGATGCGCCGATTTTTAAAGAAAGTGCCGCAGACATCATCATTCCGGGTACTTTGTGGCTTGGATAGGCTTTATACCAATCTTTAATATTGAGGTGGTTAGGTTTGAGTAGTTTGTTTATCTGGTTGTAGGTTGAGGAGGAAACCTGTGAGAAGCGCCTGGGCTAGGCGCGTGATGTCTTTCGGGCATAGCGATCGGGTCTGGGCTAGCCCTGCAGTCTGGTCTAGGGAGCTCTGTGTACCTTTCTCCAATAAAGCAGAGCGGATATTTCCATCACCTCCCGCCAAGGGAAAGGTTTTACTCACAAGCCATTGCTTGTTTGTTTGTTTCGTCAGACACTGCTTTTTCCCTGCCCAAAGGCTCGGCAACTTCATTCATGCCCTCTTGAGGAAAAAGGAATTGTGTCAGCGATGTAGCTGGGAGTGTGAGGATGACACAGTGGACGCCCTGAATATTGCAAAGCTGAGTAAGAGAACCACAACACCTTCTAACTTGCAGTTTACCATGACCTTAGCGTTCAACGGCCACTAAAAAATGGTTGACCCAATTTGGATGACGACAAACTTTAGGTAAGCCATGTTGAATCCCAGGAATGATGCTATCAGTATGGTTGGCTTGCTTACAATATTCAGCGCGCATTCAGAGCATAAGGGGACCATCACCATCGACAAGTTGGAGTCCTCCGACACTCAGAGCCTCTACGAGGTTGGAGACTGAATATGTTGCCATGGGCTGAAATAAGGATCTCAAGGCGAAGACACCTTGCCCAAAACCGGCCGTTTCAAGCTTTTCGTCGCCTAGTTTTGCCACTGGTTCAGGTTCCAACAGGGTAAGTTATCCTACTGGGCCTTTTGGTTGAGTGGTGCCAGAGTTATGGTTGGACAAGCAGACCTGGCTAAAAGCTCGTCAAGCACACGGCAAAACAGCTTTCGGAATGCATCATCCTTTTTTACGAGTCACTGACAATATGTTTTGCATTCTATTGCGGACTACCGGAATGGCAATTGTTGAAGGCCTGTGCTTTAATGAGCTTGGCTGAGCATAACCATTTTGGCCTTGGTTGTTCACCTTATTTGCTTGTCCGACTTTGTCGTTCTGCCTGGTTCGGGATGTTGTGTTTGGCAGGATATGATGCACTACTTCAACTCACAACAATGCACTTTGAGCGTGACACGTCTGGAATTCCAAGCTTGGAGGAGTGCTGCTGACTCCATCCCAAGTTTCTGTTATTGGGTAAGACATATTTTAGACGATATGCGATTTCACAACATACAGAAGCTGGACAAATCACATTTATGTTGATGGCCGTCGGAGTGGCCAGCAACCCTAGAGCCACCTCTGCCAGGTATTTGATCCAGGAACGTGGCCGTGACTTCAAGAGTTTGACCATGGCACATGTCATTGTTCTCAACCTTTTCGCAGACGACTTGCGAGTTGCCATCGATCAAAGCGTTTCGCAGGCTTGCCTGTCCGTGTAGAGCAGAAAGCCCAGACAGGTCAAGCCTTCTGGAACATAGCTTCGCCCTCTTGCCTTGTCAGGAGGTGCTTGATTCTCAGATGAGCCTTCTTGCGTGTTGCATGCCCAAGATGTGGTGAGACATAACAGGCGAACCTTCAAGCACTTGAGAAAGTAGCTTGTGTGCCTTTGTGGTGTTGATTCAGTTTCCCTTCGGCCAGAAAAGTGAACCATTCGCATGGGAGCTAAGTCTGGCCCAGTTATAGTGATTGGCATTCAACTTGCAATCTAACCCACTCCCTGTTTTTTTGTTTGAGCTATTGTGAAGGCAGTAAGGCACCCCCCCCTCGGTAAAGCGATTTACCTTATGAGACGGACGCGTTCGACTCGATTGCATGGGCCCATGGGCCTTTAGCTCCAGGCCTCGCAGTATGACGTGTACTGCTGGGCCATGGACTCTGCGGTGAACACCCAGGGGCTGCCACGGCCCAACTACATGACGCAGGCCTCGCTTGGGGAGGGCGGGGGGGGGGGGGGGGGTCGGAGGCGGGGCATGGCTCGCATGAAATGGATCCCGGCTTTATTTTGGAGTTGGTACTTTCCATGCTTGGGTTTGAAGGGAAAGCAAAAGGACACCAACCATTTTTCAGGGGTGCCCTAAAGAAAGACCCACCGAAGTAGATGTTCATTGAAGCGGATGCACCGCTGAGTACTGTACTGGACGTGCTAAACCTTCAGGTGTTTGATTTCCTCAACCTCACCCACTTTGTATGCCCCTCCCTCCCGGGCTTTTCCCGGAAACCACCACACCTCGGGCGGAGCGGCGCCTGTCGCTTCTGTCGCCTTGCAGGACTACGTGAACACACCTGTGGGCACCACCCTGGCGCACGCGCAAACCTCGCCCAGCGGCGGGAAGACCACCTACGTCTGGGTCAAGGATCTGACTCCTCCTGCCATGACCCTCGGATGAGCGTATTGCCAGCGCACGAAAGGGCAAATTTTGTACGTTGAGCACGTAGAGCTATAGGGTTTAGCAAGGATTATAGCAGGGCTTATACGAATCTTTATTACCGATTAGAAGAACCAACAGTCAATGAGTTTTAGTAGCAGCTCAGTCAGGGATGCATCTGATCCCAGATTCAAAGTCAGAAACTCCCTTTTTCCCTCGAACCTGCCTGGAGTATATCAACACTTCGGGAGATGTCCACAGCTCGAGGTTGTGTCATTTCTGTTCAATTTGGGCGGAAGTTTTGCCCGGCGAAACAGGGATCCCCTCTGAAGCAAGAGCGTAACCATCAAAGCAAAAAGCAACCAAATGATGTCTATGTTCAATCCATGGACAGCAAACAACACGTTTGTGAGAGTTTAGTTTTTTTTACTGGTTTCCGCAAAGAGGCAAAACACAAAGCCCTTTCCGAATGTCTGCACGTGCTATGCTGATGCCCCACCAGTGAGCTCAGGATCTTCGTGTCTTCGGAAGCGCTGTCAGAGGACACCGTACAGATCACCCTACAGCTGAACGAGCCAGGCAAAGCTAACGTTTTGCTCCTCGCACCCACTGCTTTCCATGTTGGTCTTATTCCCATGAGGAAATCCATTATTCCGACGTCACTGTATCCAGGATATGTGGCGGCGGCAGAGATGGTCCTCAACCAGTTGGCAGCGACACGTTGTTTGTTAGATTTACTCCCGTGTTCTTCAAGATGTCCTCGCAGAGCCACTCTCTATGTTTGGGTTTGTCGAGTTTCACAAGAGTCAGCACCACGTTCGCTTCCGCCGGGTTTCTGTCAGAAATAGCAGCAAGACTCCTCAGGGTCGTTGATGCAGCTTCTGGACCTCGATTGGAGTTTGCTTCGTGGCACGAGCCTGGCCAGGCTGTGTGCTTTCAGCCAAGGAAACTTCATTATATGTCTAACGCGCGTTCGGGCGGTTGTCAAAATGTCGCGTGGAAAGTTGTTCGCAAAGCAAACAGGGGGCATCACTCCGTCAACCTCAACAATTGTGTTGCAAAAGTGGGGGAACAGGGCGGTCCCTTTGGTTGCCCCTTAAACCACCCCCAAAAAAGCAACCCATATCTGGCGCTGCTATGGACTCGGGCTTGCAGGCACGGTTTGGTGCATGCCCACCCTTCCCACCGCGGACGCCACCTATGTGGACTCGGCCGACATCACCAGCGGGAACTTCAAGGACCGGACAAATTCTGCGGACAGCGATCGAAAGGAGACAACACGAGCGTAAAAAAAAACCAAGCGAGAGTCCTGAAGATCCCTTTCTTGGACTCCTAACATTCCCAGGTGAATTAGAGGAATTTGCCACTGGAGCGGCAATCCATGATGTGTTCAAAAAGACGGTGACACGTTTGAGTTGTGTTGAATGATCTCAGTTATTTGGTGTCTAAAGGGTGTGTCCTAAGATTGTAGGTACCCCGTAGGATGGTCAGTTTCTTTGCAAGCCAGAAAGGGTCTTAGTTCTGATTTTAGGGCACGCCCATAATATGTGACGGATCCCAGCTACGCGTGACATCATCCTTACAAAGCTTCGAAAGATTGGTTGAGATCGCACCATCGCAGGTCGTTGTATCTAGATGGAGTTGGGTGACGTTCTTTACCGGCCATTGACATGTCCAAACCTCGCCCTTTCGGAGGCAAGCAAATAGTTGCTGCTCGCATGGTCAAATTCGTCTGGGAAAACGGTACATGCACACACAGGCTTTCTGGGCCGTGTCAAGTAGCTGTTCTAGCCCGCAGTGTCAAGCTTTGAGAGGCCTCTTGGCTTCAAGGGGAAACACCGCCAAAAACCTTGGTTTGCACTTGACAGGGACCACCAGAAATGTGCTCATTTGCCTAGGACCAACCTCATTTTGGGGCAAGCGATTTTCAGGGGACCCACATGGATTCTGACTAACGGGTTCCAGCTTGCACCGAAGCACAATCATGTGTGTGGCATCCTAGAACCCCTTTGTTAGAGCCCACTTGGAGTCACCCAGTTTTGTCTTCTCTTTGCTTCAGGACAAGATCACCGGCGCATCCAGCCCAGTGACCTTTGTGCAGTACGTTCCACAAGCTTACACTAACGTGGACTTGGAAGTGGACAAGGTGGTGAGGCGGGACTGCGCTGCACTGCGGGACATGTGTGAGGGGGGTCTATAAATAGGTTCACATCGATTGGTTCCAGCTTGCGCCAAAACACAATGATGTGTGGCATCCTGGAACCCAGCTGGTACAACACATTCGCGTCGCCTAATGATGTTTTGTTCCGGCATCACTTCTCTGGCGATGGCCCTGCGATTGGCACTTGGATTTGGCTGTACATGTTCATCGAGAACACCCTCGCAATTGGCTGGTGGACACAAATTCCATGTGAACGATGTCAACTTTGAGGACCCGCCCCTTCTCAGTCCTCCTTTCAACCGACATGTTTTCTCTGAACAGCTTTTAGGATAACAGTGTCTGCAGCTCGGTGCCTGTATCGAGTTGCCTGTCTACATGGCTTTTGGGTTTACCTTTGACCTCCTAAATTTGTTTCTCTAGTCATGCAGAACATCTTAAAACAAGTACCACTCGCATAAGCTTCGAAGAGTTGTCATCGGAGTCACCTGCGGTCAGTCTATGACCTTCCTTTTTGGGGTCAAAAGATCGGTCAACTGTCGTGCAGGGATGACGCCACTGCTGCGTCTTGGCTGCATACCGCAAACGCGCGTTGCCTGTTGCATTCGCGGGCCAAGGAAGACCAGTTGAGTGGTAAACAAACAGTTGCTGTCATCGGCCAATCCGCTTGGGAAGTGAGTTTAGCTAAAGGGTTCTTCATGTTGACCTGCAAATGGAAGACACAAGAAGCCGATTGAGAAACCACAACCAAAATCCGCATGCGATCAGAAACAACTTCGTTTCAACCATCGAGCGTGCAATCCAGTGCCTCCCAATCATGACACCATTGAGGCCTATTTAGAGTATGAACAGGCTCTCCTGTGGCAGAACGTTTCCACACTGAGAAAACTCGATGCTCACCAACAACTTGTGAACTGTAGACAGCACACTCTGCCTCGTTTGTCAGAGTCTTGATGCATCCAGAGCAGATACCTCTCAAGCCTCCACTGGCGAACCCATGGCAAGCCCTCAAGAGTCCGCCTCATTGACTATTTTTGTGGAGAACTCCAAGAACGGGACCCGCGCAGTTGTTTCTGACGCCTTGCACTGGCTCAACAGACCGGAATCGAATCTCTTCAATCCCTTGCTGAACCCATTGTGACTTACCGGTTTGTTGGTTGCTCATCTTCTTGTTTGGCTGTAGTGGTTGTTTGTTGACTTGTTTATGAAGGTTTTGCTATGGTTTTGTTGGTTACTTGTTTGGTGGGGACTTGTTTGCAGCTTCTCAAAAGTGTCCACGTTTTGTTTTGGCTCTTCAAGCCGGAAGTTAAGAATCGGTAAGGCCCCCTTCCTTTTTCGACAAACGCCGCTTAGCGTATGCCTCAAATGGGGACACGCTAAGTAGCTTGCTTCATGCAGGTCTATATTGGACCAAAAACAAGGGTCGTTTCGGCACATCCCCTAGCAAAGCGGTTCCGGGGCTGTGAGGCGGCGTTTCTGGCGCGGGAGTCCTTGTACAACATCTTCTGCTTCGCTTCAGATGACTGGGACTTCGAGGCCGGTTGCCTTGTTGTGTGGGCGCTGCGCAGGATGGGTTGGCGCCGACTCAGCCGGTTGTGGAGTTGCATGGTTGTTTTCGTGCTTGATCGTTTTCGTTTGTGTGTGTGTTTATATGTTTGGGTTAGTGTTTGTTTGTTGTATACCGTTGTCACATTTTGTGTTGGTTGATGGACTCTTGGTTCGGAGTCGGGTGGGATGGTTTTTGTTGGTGGGTTTCTTTCTGCGAAAGTGCAGGATTCCTTTGGATTCCACAGTCCCTTGCACCCGATTAGTGGTCATGACCCCTCGAATGCGGACCCCTGGGCCCTCCAAAGGAGAACCCCAACCCCTCAAGGGTCCTCAAAAACAACTCCATTTTGAGGGTCCAAAACATGAATCAGGACCCTTAGGGAGACCCATCCTGGTTTCCATTGCCGGGTTGCCAACCCTCGCCATATTTCGCCATCCGCAGGCGACGGGTGCGGCGCAGCAGTCCATCAACTTTCAGTCCGGAAACGTGGGGCCGCCCAACGAGGCCCGGGACCGTCGTCGCGAGGTTCGATCCGGGACGGGAGCTGGGAAGCCAGGGGACTTTCGAAGTGCTTCTATGGATGTCCATGGAGGGCATGGCAAATTTGAGGCACGCCATCTGCCCCAAATCTGACCCTGTTGTGAGCCAGAGACACCAAAAGAAAATCGTTGCCAGCAGGGCCCCAACAGTTCCGAGTCCCCCCTTGAAGTGTTGCGCTTCATATTTTCGGGACAAGCTAGATGCGGCACGGTCAAACTTACCACACCCAATGTTGGCATTGTTTTTGCAATTTGGCACCCTTCAAAGATTCCAAGCCACAAAGGGCATCCAAAGAACCCCTGGAGGCAAAAGCCAAGGTTAAGCTAGCGTACTCCGTGGCGAGTGAAACCCTCGTGTATTCAACTATATTGAGAGCACCTGGCATGCGGTGATGCCTTCGAGAAAAAGCTGGAGCTTGCCACTCATACTTCACGGGGACCAAATGTCATTCACTGGCAATATGCTCGAAACTCCCTTTTGGTCTGGTGGGTTCCGCACTAGAAATGGTCAACCCCAACAAGACTTCTCTTTTGACCAAGGTCACTGGGCAACTCGGGGGTTGAGGGGAGCAAACTCCAATCTGGACGTGAGGGCCGGGGCTTGGAACCCTTACCCCCTACCCCCCATATCCGAGCGCACCTCCGAAGACCGGACGTTTGATCCATGCAAGAATTGCTACCAGGCCATGGTCACCCTGAAAGTGAATCCAAAGGGAGGTTGAACTTAAAACAGCGAAGGTTTGAACATGTTAAAACCTGCGGATGGATCTTCTGCGGGTTTGTTGATTGCAAATTTGGTGCAGGTCCGGGACTGCAGTTAGCGCCATCAATACATGTGCTGTGTAACTCGGGATTTGAACCGGGACCCCCCCAAAAAAAAAGCCTTTCCCCTTGGTTTCAGTTTAAACCAACTGCCAAGGGCACCCTCAAAACACGCTCACATAATATGATTCGTTTATTGTACCCCGACATGTCTCTGTGTTGCATGGCAGGTCCTCTATGCAGACGTGTCTCAGTTCTCCTCAGCAGTGGCTGGGCTGTGCCAAGGGCTGCCTGCTCTGGAAGCCTTCTTGGGGCTTTGGTTCCGTATCATACTGTTTACTCCACTTTGGACACAGCAGGCGCCCAACAAACAGAAGCGGCGTTTTTTGTTTTGCAAGGAGAGGCTTGGCTCTGCCTGGAAGGGTTGAGTGCCTTTCCCATTGGGCTAGTGAAGTTTTCACGTGTTTCTCCCTGTTGGTCCTTGGTTCCTCTGGGTGTAGTCTTTCAGTATCAAAAGGTGGATCCACAAACGCGGTTTGGCATTGCTGGGTCAAATTGCATCTTGTCACTTTACCAAAGGAATGAAGCATGACAAGGCTCAAATCATTGACTAAGATTGGGATCTGGATATTTTGGGGCTTGACCATCACAAGCAGTTTGGCTTTCCAAGTCTGCTGAGCAGCTTTATCCCAGTGCACAGCTTAGATTTTCACATGTGTGCTGTCCTGAAGCAAATACAACACCCGCAGAACATCGTGGAGGTGATATTTGTTTATCGGGGGAATTGTTAATGCTGCACTGCAGCCTAAGGCCGTCCACTGTCTTTATATTCGACGTGATGGAGTTAGGTGACCAGCCTGTGAGGTTCGCAAGGACGTGTGGTGGTCCCCTTGTCCTTGCCACATCAAACGCAGTGTGGGTGTTTGAGGATACCCCCTTTTCAGGTTTGTTTTACAGGGAAACCAACAGAAACCCACTCGTTTTGCCACGGCGAATTTCTCACACACTCAAATGTTCCCTACCATTCACGGTTATTAGTTATATCCATGCGGAGCTCAGAGTTCTTTGTTCAGGTCCGCGTTGGGTTTCAAGAACGAACTGTTTGATACCAGTCACCAAATTACTCATTGGTGGGATAGTTGTTCCAGCCAAATTAAAAGCTCTTGGACAGTTGCCTGACACTCATGCTACGTCGACTAAAGGTGACCTTAGAACTTGCCAGACCAACCCACTCTTCACTCACCCTGACCCAACCCTCCGTGTCCAAACACGCCAAAAATCAACCCTTAAGTCCATCCCAAGCCCCCACACTCAAGCCTGCACCCACCCTAAGCCCGCCCAAAACCGACCGCTTCCAAATCTCCGAACCATGCCCCCACCCTCAACCGACCCTCCCGAGCCCAAACGAAACCCAAGCCGACCCCATCCCAAGCCCGAAAGCCGACCTCACGCGCAGACCTGAGGTGGGCCAGGTGATCACCTTGGACCTCACGCCACCGACCATTCAGATCAATGGGGCGACTGGACTGAACGCCCAACTTCCTCTTGGCAGGTCTCCTAAGCTTGCTTGCTACTGGGTTGGATCTTTTTACAATAGCCTTTCTTGTTGAAATCGGATTTGGCTTTAACTTGTTAACTTTTGGGGAAATAGTGGTATGTTCTATTGAATTTGTATTTGTTGTTTTGCAGAGGGGTCAACAGCCACCATGGAAAGTGGTTGCATGTTCAGGAGGCTCCTAATTTCTTTGGGGCAGGGTGGCTTGCTAGCGTGAACTCAAGCATATCGAGCTCACCACAGAGTAACACATGCTCACCCATGATGAAGCTTTCCTCGATTGCTGTGGGAATTTAAACCAATCACCACAAATTCCCAGGCACATAGGCATGGAACATCCAAGGGAAGTTGAGCGGCGGAGACTATCCTGATGATTGAATCTCTTGTCACGCACGAGAATAGTCTCGTGTTGTGCACCCCTGGTTACACTCCCACTCGTCGGACATGGGCGGCTCCTTGTGTTGGATCCTGGGTTCCATGTTCCATCCTTATTAAAAGGGGAACATGGCCCAAACCCCCAACCTAAGCATCAATCCTGAAAAACGACTAAAGTTAATATGTGTTGGCTGTTGCCCTATGGCTGTTTGATTAGGATGCAGACAGACCCAGTTTGAGGGGGTTGAAAGGGAAACCGAGAAACTCATTCTGAGGGTTCACCTGAAGACGAACACACATTCCTTTCGGGGCATGTTTTCATTGATTGGTGATGTTGATCGTCCCATTCTCAAGGTTAAGCCCCCTCGCCATGTTCGACGGCTGGTTACCTACTTTCACCGTTGCCACGGATTTTGAGCGTCCAAATTCTATCTGCAAAAAAACAGTTGGCTGTATGTAAGTCCCAACCAACAAAAGAACATTTTTCCAGTTGTCTTCTTTTCTCGAAGCCTGGGTCTCCCCAAAGCGGCCAACTCGATCAAATCCGCCTTAAACTGGGCTGTTCAAAGGTAATCCTTAACCCTTACCTTGGGCGTTGCGAAAGGATTTGCTCCCTATGAAGATTATATGAGAAAACGGCTTGGCCAACCCAACCCATTTCAAAGAGCCCACTTAACTTGCTGGTGCTCAGTAGGGAATGACCCTTCCGCGTGTTGGGAATGAACCGTTTGGGGGATTCCCTTATAGGAAACCAAGTCGGATGGATGGATTGTTTTCTCGGGGTCATTTCATTTCTCATTCCCTGCCTGTCTGCCTGCTACCACACCAGCCCAGTTTAAACTAGCAAATTCAATCCTCCGCTCCGGGCGAGGTCACTTGGCCATCCCAGCCATCTTGAACCGAACAACGAAAACAACGAAAAACCAACCGCACCAGCTCAGTGTATGAAACAGACGTCCTCCGGCCAAGCCCATTTCACACCCAAAAACAACAACAACGAGAACCAAAAAAGCAAAACCTCCGCCGGCGGAGCGGCGGAGCGGAGCGCAGCGGAGGTCAGCACCACGGAGGACACCATCACGGTGAACTTGGAGCTCTCCGAGACGGGCACCGCCTGGTGCCAGGCGGTGCGCCATGGCTTCAACGCCCGGGAGCCCCAGCGGCTGGTTGACGCGGGGTGAAACCCCCGCCCCGGGGGGGAACCCTTTAAAGGGGAACCCCGAAGTTCAGGCAGGCCACCATTCAACACATGGGGCAAAGGGGAACCCTGGGGTTGAAAACACCATTCAAAACACGGTTGGGTTGGTATAGCCACTATTGTTTGAGGATGGTCATCATCCAAATTGGGTCAACCATTCTTTTCATGGGGGCTGAACATTTAGGGGGAGCCCGAAGTGCCACCAGTAAGTTGATCAAGTTTTGATGGGGAAATCCAGTGACCATTGATGTAATTTTAGAGTAGCTTGATTAGAAACAAATGAGTTCCACTGGTTTTGGGTTTTGTTCCAGTTTCCAAGTCAAACCCATCGATTTTTCCAAATTCACCTATGATTAGTGTTTTGTTTCGGGACAACCCCTGGGTTTGATAATCTATGTCGTGGTCAATAACCGGAACCCTCGTCGCATTTCACGTCACCCGTGGCGTGGCCATGTTCAGCGACAGGGCCGTCGGCGAATTTTCTTCGGGGCAGGTCCCGGGCAGGTCAACCCTCATTTTTGGCTTGGATGGGGATTTGAACCCCCTGGTTCTTGTAAAGGGTAAATGGGAAACCACTCCTTAACCCCCAAACCACCAATCCAAACCACCAACTGGGAAGCTGACCCGCTGGATTTTCTCGGATTTCGGGTGTAGTTGTTCGCTCCAATCAAAGCGAAGCTTCGACAGGGACAGCCGCAAGTCAAGCTGCAGGAGTATGCGTTTTGGGTGGACTTCGTCGAATTTGGTTTTGATGTTTGAGTTGTTTTCAGTTCAGTGGACGGCTGAACAATAGAGCATTTATTGCCAAGACACCGGGGGTTGGGAAGGCATACAAGGGGTGACGTTGGTTGAAACAACCAAACCCCGATTCTTGTTCAACCAAACGTGGTGTGCTTAACAGTGTTTTGAGCATGGGTAAATAAGGCGTCGGTCCACCCTGAGTTTGCATAGCCATTTCACTTGCAGAGTGACTTGCTCGCTGAGAGGTTTTGTGTCTATGTTTGGCATCAACCCACCCAAACTTCAGAACTTTTGTCACAGCAGGTCTCTGTTGGGGCCTTGCCTCAAGCAACTAGTTTCCCAACGATGTTGACAGTAATCTCGAGCGCTTCTCAATATGTTCACTCTCAAGGGCCAAGATCTACTGCACTTAATGCCAATCTTGTTGTTTGGTTGGACCGCGTGATCAAAGCGCGTGTGGCTCAAGGGTTTTTGTGCAGGCCCTTGAACAAGCAGTTGCTGAATCCCCCGGTGTTTCGTGTGGTGTTGCCTTCACACCACCCAACACGAACAGCCTCTGATCAAATCGACGGCGTCAGAGGTGCCAACCATCCTGGAGATCCTCGACAGCAACTTCACCACGGAGTACTACCATTATAGCGGGGAGCTCAGCGAATTGGCAGGATCCAAATTCAGGGCATTCTAGAAAGAGGAATCCAAGCATTCGAGTACTCAGCATCCAGGGACAGACATAGTTTAGGAAGGCGTACATGATGACTTGGGTTCAACTAATGTGGTGCCACGTTGGGAGCAACTGTTTGAGGAGAACCTGAACAGGTTCAACTTGGGCTGGATGAGTCTGGAACCTTCTTCACAGGGCCAATGCTCAAGGTTGGCCAATGCAATGGAACCAGGACCATCACAAGGGGCGGTTTGTGTGAGGGACGTTTGCTGGTCCTTTCTTCTATGTGTAATTAGTAATTATAATAATTTTATGTTGTGCATCGCTGAATCAATGCTCGCATCAATTGCTGAGCGACAGTTTGGGGAATCCTGCCATGAAGAAACGCTTTACTGAAGAACCGCAGCAGCAGCTGTCAGATGTTTCCAAGGCACAGATGAAGGAGAGGCATGTTGAAGGCTTGGGCAGCTTGAGGACATGACCTGACGCGCGAACCGCAGAGATGGAAAGGCGCTGACCAAACTGATCACAACTTCCATGGGGACCGCACGTGTTTCTCGCGTTAACTTGGGACCCAAATAATATTGACCGTGGCTAAGATGTTGCAGGCCCCCTCGCGACAGCTCATGAGGCCAGCTCAGGAAGATGGACTTGCATGATCTCAATATATATTTGGAAAAGGGGCCTCAGGTCTTTATGGCTATTTGGTTAGATCTTTGGACTTTAACAACTTGCTGGTTGAAGTAGGTCGGATGTTCCATTGGACCCACCCCGGGTGAACAACTTTGTGCAGAGGAGGCGTTGCGACAACCAAGATGTTGCTTTGGCTTTTGGAAGCACCTCAGAGTTTCTCGTTGTGTCGTGCGTTGGTTTGCTGTCGGCAAGTGTCACATGCTCAGGTCTGTCTTTTTCAAGGAGTTGGTAGGCGATAGTTTGTTGGATTGCTTGGAGAGGTTTGCAAGTGATTGAATTCGGCTTTGGCACTAAACAAACCAACAAGCAAGCGAGCAAGCACGCAAACAAGCAATCAAGCAAGCACGCAACCAAACAGCAACAAACACACCAAGCAAGCAAGCAAGCAAGCAAACAAACAAATAAGCAAACACTCAAACACGCAAACAACCATGATGTGCTTGTGCTTTGCTCACTGAGGCCCAACAACCGTTCCTGTGGACGTGGTGATCTTGGGCTATGACCGACCAAGGACCGGCGGAGGTAGACAAGACTCACCATATGCCTCCAGCGTAGGGCTGTTTGGTTTACACAATCAGACCTATCCCCGAGAAGGGGAATCAGCAGGAGCTTGATCAGACAAAAGGTGTTGAAACATGTTGTAGAGGGGTTGGCGGCAGCATTGACTTGGCGGAAGTGCAGCCTGCAAGACTTTTGCCCGCGATATACGACGGGAGGGTACAGTATATATATATATATTACCATAATATTGTCGAAATGCTCTTTATGAGGGGCTGAGTCATCAATAATTATTTGGCTTTCATGTTTTTTTGGTTTTTGTTTTTGAAGTGCGATCCCATGTGTTAGGCTACGCATTGCGCTACTCTTTCTCAGCGAGCGGCTTGCGGGCATGTTGAATTCCGATCCAGACATCGATAGCACAATGAGCTTTTTGAGTAAATGCTTCATCTGGCGTGACACCCGGCATAGGGGTCTGTCCTTTTGGAGTTGGGAGCGTGGTCGAACCCACCCATGTTGGATGTCTGATTGGGAGACAGACCCATATAGTATGTGATATGTGTCAAAAACCGGAATCTTTTTTAGGAACAGGAACTCGGGAAATCATCATCCCTTCAGCCATTTGTAGTGATCCCTAGTTGCCAGACAGCAATAGCTCAAGACAAAGCTGTTGTTCATACAAGCTGCAGGAACATGTCCACGAGAATAGCCAACTCCCACCAAACAAAAGCTGGCTTCTCATCCAGACTTAGGCAATGGAATCAAAACCTCGGATTTCCAGATGGATGCGACAAAAGGTACAGTGGGTGAACCGCTTGTTTTGTTTTTTGTTCTTGTTTTTTTTTTTCCGTTTCGGGACCTCCAACAAGACGCAGAGACGACCAGGAACTATGACCCCACCTACATGACGCCTTTGCAGCGCCAGCCTTAGTGCACAAACATCCAGCGCGAGGCGGTTCCAGGCAGATCTTGTGACCTGGATATGACTGTTTGGGGACGCTGCCAAGCATTCTGCTTTCGGGGAACTAGGATTTAGCTTCTCTCAAGTAGCTCTTCAACTTGGCAGAGGAGCTCGACATATGCAGAGGAGCTCGACATATCTAATGTTGGCAATTGGCATCATGATGTTCGAAGCGCCAAACCGTGATATGCCTTTGGTCAGCACCTTACAAAGCACACTATCTTGTGACTTCCCTGACCAAATCCTTGGCCAGATATGGGATGGTTGCATGTTGATTCTCTGATTATGATTGAACTCGTGCGTGTCTATTTGTTGCTTTGGGTGTCATTCACAACTGACTACACTGGGCTCACATATGCCGACATATGCTTGGTTTGTTGCATCGCGATTGAAAGCCGGCGTGCATAAAGCTGCATGAGCAATGTTTGTTGTGGCAACTGCCCATAGCGTATCTGCGGGATTGAGAGTCATGCACAAAAGTGTATTTGGGAGTGGTTGCCATGCTCACAGCAGAATTGTGCTGTTGTTCAGAGTGGTTTGCAACCAACTCTAAGGCTCTAGTTGATGTGATGCCCATGTTGAGTCAGACTTGTTGTTTGTCATCAACCCCAATGGTCTTGTGGTTGATTAACCGTTTCATGCAATAGATGTCCATGTTTTACGGTCGCCAACACGAAGCATGGGCCCGCTGTGCCCACCAGCGGCTTCTCTCGTGTCAGCTACCGTTTGTGAGAGACGTATTCTAATGTACGTGGACGACACCTGCAAAGCAGCGCAGCCCTGACACAAGGCATACATGAAGCTGTTACCCCACTTCCAACATCTGGGGAAATGCCTGGTTGCAACAACACCTTTGCAACTATACTGTTTCCTTCCAGGGCGGCCTTTTGTTGTAAGCTGGGTGCAACAATCGTGCAAGCTGATAATCGATTCGGCAACGTTGGCTATGTTTATTGGGAGGTCCAGGTCCGCTTTTATGCGTTGGGCAGTCAGATCATGGCCATTGTTGCCAAACAGATTAGGGGGGAAGGGTTTCTATGGGGAGTCTAGGGACATCTTGTGCCGCCTTTGAAGGGGTTCAACCAGGGGACCAAAATTTCACAGCCCCAACTCCGCAGGCAGGACAGGTGCCATTCACTTCGTCGGGGAACGAAGCCCAGGCTGGGCACCTACTACGACGTCTACTGCTATGCGGACGACGACCTGTGCCAAGGCTGTAAGGTGACCAACGGGGTGTCCTTCAGCTACGTGAGCCGCTTGGATCGATTCAGAACCGCGCCAGCCGCACCCGTTTCAGCACCGGAGAACCACAAACAACTGGCTTTGTCTTTTTAAGCGGACCCACCAAGACCGGTGATTTTACTTCTGGTTTTCCTTTGACACACCCCAAAACAGGTTTCAGAAAGAACACACGCTCTTTTTTTTCCCGTGGCACGTGGAGGCCGGTTTTTGCAAATGAGGTACCTCCGCCAACCAGCTGAAGGTCCGAACGCTTGACCTGACGCCTCCGCAGATGAGGCGCCACCTGCATGCAGTGCGCAAGTGGGAGCTTCCTCAGTTTTGTGTTGTCCAAAGCCGAGTTTTGACCTTTGGGTTTTTCATTTTGGCAACCATTTTAGTCACTAATCCATTCACCAAGTTGAAGCCTGGTTTAACCTTCATCTATGTGCTCAATAAGGCCTAAGAATACGCGTGCACAAATGTTGTATCCATATATATATATATATATTATTATATATGTATATATATGCCGTGTTGCAAGTTGGAGATGGCTTGGGGCCAGCGAAAGTGACATCTCGAAGCTTGACCCATGCTGGGTTGGTCTACTATCCCCCAGAAGGGAGTGTTTCACTTTTTGCTGGGTGGTGGGATACAGATGAAACTTTCCGCAAGAAATTCTATGGGTAAAGCCAAAGCGCAACCAAGTATCCATCTCCAGGTTTCGGTTGACATGTCACCAGCTAGCACCAGTGAAGAGCCTTGCACTTCTCTTGTTGCTTAGTGCATCCTTCAAAGCAAGGCTAATGACTTGCAGCGATTCTACTTTCACTACGAGATGGGCATTGCGTCCGAAAGGACTGTGTGTGTGTGTGTGTGCGCGTGTGTGTGTGTGTGCGCATGGTATGTGTGTGTGTGTATGCGTGGGTGCGTGTGTGTGTGTGTGTGTGTGGGTGGGTGCGTGCATGCGTGCGTGCGTTCGTGCGCGCGCGCGTGCGTGCGCGCGCGGGTGTGTGTGTGTGTGTGTGTGTGTTTGTTTTGTTTGTTTGTTTGTTTGTTTGTTTGTTTGTTTGTGTTTGTGCGGCATGTTTTTGCAGCATGTGTTTGATTTTGTCGCTCTGTGTTTGTTGTTTGTTTGTGTTTGTGTGTGTGTGTGTTGTTGTTTCTATCTACCTGGGTGACTACGCTTGAATGTTTGTGTGGTTTGGGTGCTTGGACCACTGCGCTTGCAACTGTTCTTTTTTGTGTTATTATTGATTCATTGCTGGTGTCTTGGCGTGCTGGCGTGTTCGCCGGTGTCAGTGTTTCTGCTACGCGTACCACATGCTATCGTACTTCTGTGTCTTTGTACTTCAGCATTTGCGGTTGTGTTTGTGCGTGTGTGTGTGTGTGTGTTGCTTGTGCATGTTTATTGATGTGTGCTTGGTGTTTGGCATGATCGTGCTGCGTGCGCGTGAATGCTCAGTTTGCACGCCTGTGCTTGCGTCTTTGTGCACTGCTTGGCTCAGTCTTTTGCAGGTTCATCGCTGCTGAGTCCATTGCCCATGACCAGATCATCATTACTCTGCAGGCGCGTTGAAAGTAGCGCAAAAGCATTGCCTGCAGGTAGAGTCTACGTAAGGGGCTGGTATGAGTCTTGTTGCAAATGGTGATGTGACTAGATCATGAAACCAGATGCCATGTGTATCCAAGTGCCATGGTTTGAAGCTGCTTGGCCTGACAAGCACTGGGGGTCCAATTCCAAGTACCGATGGCCACCCAGTTGAGCAAAGTGTGTGTTATAGGCCCGAGTACGCAAGTACTCCTCCTAATGTCTGCTTTGAGTGAATTCGAGACAACCATACTGTAATGAGATGCTTTGACTTGAACCAGACCATCTCCCACTTAAACCACCATTGCCCCAGAGTACTCGAACGGAGCTTGTTAATTGGAAGTTGCCATTATTTCGGATGATGACCAACCTCCCATGGATGAGTTGATGAGGTAGTTGAACAGGCACCCGTAAGATGACTCGACTCGCCAATGAAGTAGCTGGGAGCAAGGTCATCCTTTTCCTATCTTCCTTACGTGCTCTGAACATGCTAGTTTGTTCGCTTGCTAATTCGGATGAGCTGTTGTGAAGAGGTGATCTTTCTCTCCTGGGAAAAGGCAGCTTGGCAGCTTTCTTTGCCGCGTGCTGCCTTCTTATTCACTACAAAGCAACTATGCACAGCTGAAAAAGGTGTCCTGTTGGTGATAACCAACCAAAAGAGGGTCCCCTCCCCCCCCTCCCCTCCCCAAAAAAAAATAGGAATAACAAAATAAACACACACACACACACACGCTGATGGCAACCAGACCTATCCACAAGAAGCTTTGTGCATGAGCGAATCCACCGCTTGGCAGAAGCGACAGGTGGACGAGGGGGCGAAGGTCTGGTGCGCCGCCTGGGCCACGGACCCGGTGTTGACGGCCACAGCCCAGGCCAGGCCGCCGGTGTCGGCGGATTCGGTCGGCAGGGCTGGGGAGTGGTTGGGGGGTGGGTGTGGGGTGGGGTGGGGTGGTTGGGGTGGGGTGGTTGGGGGGTGGGGGGTGCGAGGTGGGGAGGTGAGTTGGGAGAGTTCTTAGGCTGGGAAGAGGATTCCGAAATCGGAAATAGCATTGTGTCTTTTTGGGTTGCGCGGTCGACTTGCTGTACGTAGAGTTTGTTTACCCAGCAATTAGTTTGAGGGAGACACTCTCCAATTTAAAGAGCGAACAGCGCAGCTTGTCATATTGTTTTAGGTCGAAGAAAGATACGAGAAGTTGCTCACATGCAATTTGGCAATGGCCTGGAAGGGAAAACTGTCCACACGGATGCGGATGGTGTATCCACGTAATTTTGTTTCTGTGATAGGTTTGGATCAACACAAAGGCAAGGACGGAGTACAGCCGCGTAATGGTGTCAGCGTATGTCCAGCTCGAAGCCGGTTTCGGAGAGTGTGCGATTTGGAGCCAAGTCTGGCCCTTGGCCGTGGTGCACATCCTGAGTGGAAGCTGGATATGTCCACCAGCAGTACAAACATGACAACCACATCCTAATCCAATTTGCTGCCCCAGCTGTTGGCGCGCGGGTCTTGCAGCGTGCATCGCAAGAGCCGTAGTTGAAGTCGTGCTGTCAAAGATGGCGAATTACCCTGTTTCCCTTCGACTCTACTTGCAACAACTGTGTGAACTTCACCAATAGGTGGGCAATCTGTTTTCCAGGAAAGGTCTTCACAATGAAGCTTCTTTGGGACGCCTTTCGGCTTGTGAATTATAGCAATTTGCTCGGATGGCTTGGCCGGGGTTTTGCGCGCGGCTCCGCATGCTCACCTGCAATTGCCCACTCTCCGCATAGCAGTTCAAAGCTCCAAGTACTGCCAGGAAAACACCAAGCATATCACCTCCCATGCGCCTGAAATAGCTCAAGACTGATGCGCGAGGATCCTCCGCTTTGGGCTGGCCTGTGCGTCCGTTTCGCCAGGACTATGAGGTCCGGATCAAAGCCCAAAGCTCCACGTGCCGCCCGGCGACAGACACCACAGCTTGCGTGAAGGTTCGGTCAGAGCCAAAAGATTTGGGAGTACTAGGCTAGAGGCACAGAACAAGTTAAACTTCTTGTGGGAGTTTGGCCCA